AGATAGAGTATTTTTAAATCCCGTGCCAGTTGCCTCTACGTAACCCTAACGACCCAGATTATTATCTGGCCAAAAGTGCCAGATTACCTTAAAAGTTCTGGGGTTTTTGATGCTGTTACAACAAGAAATAACTATTGTTTGCTACTTTTCCTCATCTGGAGAGCTTCCATACAAGTCATGAGATCCTATGCCCAGGTACGTTGGGCGTACCTACTAATCAGGCAATGCCCTGTAGTCACAAATTTGAAATGCTGATGGCCTCGGAAGCCAACGTTCAAATGAAATTTTACTACTGATATTCATAATAGTCTCTCAATAATAACAAAATTAATAATAATAATAAAGCTTTATCAAAATCTACGGTATATGCGAAATTTCTACCGCCAATGCCATTTTTTCGTTAAAAAGATTGTCGACAGCTACATTCCACAGTACTGGTGAGTAGACCGGACNCTCTTATATTTGTGAGCGATGAAGTAGCGCTTACATGGAGATATCAATTGACAAATAACCATCGTCTTACTGAGGTATTTAGCTGAGGTGATTCGGGCACATTGATAGTATTTCCCGAAATCTGCTTACTTCTGAAGTATACCCATCACCTATTTATCTGCGATTCTCTAAGATATCAACAGTAGCTAAAAGCCTGTTTGTAGGGAGTGCTTACAATGCGGCTCGGTGGTTAGGTCTAAAAAGTACTCTGTATTCAATGAGCTGTATGAATTGCGAGATATGCAAGTGCTTGTGGGAATTCATTGAGGAACACCAGGAAGTCAGTTTCGATAAATGCATATGAGAGGGGTTTTTTTCTGTCGCGAGCAAAAAATTGATTGGGTTGTTCTTTTTCTAGAGTCTCCTATTTGATGGTATGGTATTAATTCGCGCGAACGACTTAGGCTCCTAGAAAAACTCATTGTAACTGAATCTGATGACTAAAATCGTGGAAAACCATGATTCTATGTCAGAACACCTACAAATAGCAAATCGGGTGCCTCCTGCG